CCGCACCACCCGTCAGCCAGCATGCTGAGTATCCTCACCCTTCAAGAGGGAGATGCTCTCAGGCATATAGCACACCTGCAAGGAATTGTTCTTTTAGTGTAGGAGCACCTAGCCTTTGGAACTCCCTGCCTCTTGACACCAGGCAGGTGCTTTTACTGTACTCTTTTCAGTGCCTGCTAAAAACATCTTCATTTAGCAAACCCTGTCCATGCATGGAGAATGCAGGCATGCATTTTGATCTTTCTGTTTGCCGTTGATTTTAATTATCTTTTGAAACTTTATAAATGCTTGTTTTGAACTGTCTTTCATTGGCAGTTTTAAAGTCTGGGGTGTTTTTTGTTTTGTAAAGCGCTTCGAGGTTTTATTACAAACCCCTGATAGGCAAATGTTTTGAAATCAATAAACAAGATGCTTTTGCAAATGTGAGACTGTAACCCCAGCACCCAGTTCGGTTGTGAGTTGGTTTTCTCATAGCCAAAAAATAAAATAATTTTTTTTATCTTTTTAGGAGGGATTAATGACTTGACATCTTTGCTGTTTCAATCTCAGCTGCTGAGAATTTGGGGTCACCCTACAGGGCTCAACTTCACTCTTGGGGGTGGACAGCTTGTGGTCTCCATTACATTACATACCAAGATTATGTCAGGAAAAATTCAAATTCTGCAATCCGAATAAGAAATACAGGCTAGCAAACAGGATCTTGCAACACAACCTTCTCCTTTGTGGGGAAGAATAAGGAATTCTGCAAGGTACTGAAGCCCCTACTCTGTATGTGCTCAGGGTAAGGGCCTGAGGAGCTTCTAATCCATATTCAGTGATCTTGTGGTTTTTTGTGTGTGTCCCTAGAGTGACCCCCTCCAAGTGCACCCAGAAACAGACTCCACCCATCCTGTGCCTGGGAGAAAAGTCATAAGCGGGAGGCCAGATCAATCATTTACCCCGAGGCAAAGCATCACAGTCACCAGCTGAGTTCATTGCACGTCAGCTAGACTCGGTTGTGCCAGACCAGGCTGGCCTGGACCGATCCTGCCCCATAACAGCCATGGGGGGCCTCTCAGAAGCTGCTTGAAACTGGTTTCCCAAGGAGATCCGTGCAGGATTTTCAATTTAGATATAACAAAGTTTAAATCAGAAACCGGCTAACGCTTATGGAGAGATGTATTCTCCACTGCCTGCTTGCCTAAGCCTGATGGAATAGAAAACATTTCAGCAGGTGCCTAAAAGTAGAAGCAGAAAGTGCACTGGCTGAATCTCTAGTGGCAGAGAGTTCCACAGGGCCAAGGCCAGACCGAAAGCCTCAGTTTCTTCTTGTTGTAAGATGTGTACCACCAACATTACACCAGTGTAATGTAATGGTTAGAGTGTTGAACTAGGACCTGGGCAACCAGGATTTGAATGCCCACTCGGCCAGGAAGCTCCCTGGGTGACCCTTGGGCCGGTCACTCACTCTCAGCCTAACCTACCTCACAGGGTTGTTATGGGGATAAAATGGGGAGTTGGAGAAACGCATGCACCACCTTGAGCTCCTTGGAAGAACAGGTGGAATATAAATGTAATCAGGGCCAGCCCACGACATTTTGGCACCTGAGGCGGATCCCAAAATGGCACACACACCCCTCCCTGGCAGGGAAGAAGGGGTGAGGGAAGATCTGCATGTGGAACAAGGAGGGAAGAAGGATTGACATCAGAATCTGCTACCCTGGTGAATCCTGCTGCCTGAGGCACCTTGCCTCATGGGTGGGCCGGCCCTGAATGTAATAAATAACAAACAAACAAACTTGGCAAGGACAAATAGGTGGACCAACAGGAATAAGGCGGCTTCCTGTGTTCTTACTTTGGTCCTCGAGGTGATGGAGAGAGAGAGCCTGGGGCTGACCCACGGGCAGTAATGGCAAGGGGGTGCCCGCTTCAAAGCCTAACAAATCTCCCCTGTGCCCTTGCCATTCATTATTCTTTCTTAAATTATTATGCTACCTTTCTGTTAAAAATGCCCCGCGACATTGCAAAGGGACGACGATCTGCTCACGGGACACCCGCATCACCTGCCCACCCACCACGCATTGCCACAGACTCTGACTCTTTTCCCCGTTTGCAATCCTAGCTCCGGGACCGTGTCGCCACACAGGCGCCCTCCAGGTGGCGTCGTTGCGCAGCACATTCCCTTCCCACCCCAAAGAGAGTGGAGTTTTAGGGGCTTTGCAGGACTGCGTTAACTTCCAACACTGGTCTGGCTCTTTCAAGCAGGAAGTGCAGCTGCCCAATGCTTCATCCCCCCCCCCCCCCGGTGGTGCAGCCACTTTTGCGGGTGGGTGGGTTCAGGGGTTGGACCAGTTGACCCTTGCAACTCGACGGTTCTGTGGTTCTAAAACAACCACTTGCACAATTCAGGTGTTGTGTACAGCAGTTCTGAGCTGGTGTCAAGCTCCATTTGCGCCCCGTCCCCTCTCCCGTTTGTGCCATTGTGCCAACAGCGGTGCATGGCTGAGGAGGGGTTCAGCAGGCCCAAGCACCCTCAGCAGATGTCTCTGCCCCCCCCCCCATCACTTGCTCCTTTCTCCCCTGAATTTTAAATCTTCTCTTTTTTTGAGGGGAAAAATGCTGTCAAGGAAGCTGTAGATGCTATAAAGTGCAGGGCTGCTAAGACCCCCAGCGACCCACCCAACATCTTAATTGGTGGATGTCCAATCCGCATACAGGGTGTTGGCCCCAGAGAACCTGCCTGACACCTCATAGCTCAAAAATATGCTTCTCTGAATCATCCCCAGCACTAAGAGCCACAGTTTGGGGTCTCCCCACCTCTTCTGGAAGTTGGCTGAAATTTGCATCTGTACATAGAAATCATATGCGAGGGTGGGGTGAACCTTTTTGCACACCTCCCTTCCAGAATTTCTGCCTTCTTCCTGTGGTCTCTTGATGACGGGTCGCATATAAATTTAATAAATAACTCTAAGGAGGTTTGCTGCTTATGCAGAGGGAAGCCTCAAGGAAGCAGGGAAAGGTCATGCTGAGGGAGGGTCTCAGCTCTCTTTGCAGGAGGAGTGGGGAGGCTTTTTCCTAGCTATAATAATAATATAATAATAATGATTTATTATTTATACCCCGCCCATCTGGCTGGGTTTCCCCAGCCACTCTGGACGGCTTCCAACAAAACACTAAAATACAAAAACCTACTAAACCTTAAAAGCTTCCCTAAACAGGGCTGCCTTTACATGTCTTCTAAAAGTTTGGTAGTTATTTTTCTCTTTGATATCTGGTGGGAGGGCGTTCCACAGGGCGGATGCCACTACCGAGAAGGCCCTCTGCCCGGTTCCCTGTAACTTGGCTTCTCACAGCGAGGGAACCACCAGAAGGCCCTCGGCGCTGGACCTCAGTGTCCAGGCAGAACGATGGAGGTGGAGACGCTCCTTCAGGTATACTGAGCCGAGGCCGTCTAGGGCTTTAAAGGTCAGCACCGACACTTTGAATTGTGCTCGGAAACGTACTGGGAGCCAGTGTAGGTCTTGAAAGACCATTGTTATATGGTCTTGGCGGCCGCTCCCAGTCACCACTCTAGCTGCCGCGTTCTGGATTAGTTGTAGTTTCCGGGTCACCTTCAAAGGTAGCCCCACATAGAGTGCATTGCAGTAGTCCAAGCGGGAGATAACCAGAGCATGCACCACTCTGGCGAGACAGTCCGCGGGCAGGTAGGGTCTCAGCCTGCGTACCAGATGGAGCTGATAAACAGCTGCCCTGGACAGCTAGTTATTTGTTTTTCCCTTGCATTTATATCCCTCCTTATTCTCCAAGGAGCTCAAGGGGATGTACATGTTTCTCTCTCCCTCATTATTTAATCCCCACAACAACAGCCCTGCCAGGTAGGTTAGGCTGAGCGAGGCCGTGGCTGGCCTGCCCAAGAGCTTCATGGCTGAGTGGGGATTCAAACCTTGGTCTCTCCCAGGTTCTAGCCTGACACTCTAACCACTGCACCACACTGTCTCTCATGCACTGGTGACACGGGCTCTGGCTGGGGTTCCCCCATCCCCTCCATCTGGGAGAGGCCCCCTGTGCCCCCTTACCTCCCATCCTCCGGAGCAGCCCCTTCCTGTCGTGTCCCAGATGCCCAGATGTTTTCCAGACCGGCCTGCTGGCCCTCTTCTCCTCTCTGAGAGCTGCTGCTGCATGGCTGCCCGGTTGCTGAGGCGAGGGCTGCCGGCTCCTGCCCAGTCAGCAGTTTGATTCAGCTTCCAAAAAAGGCACAGGCCAGCAGTTTGGATGCAGAGCAACCCTGAAATAGCCTCTCCCTCTCCCCACTTCTCCCTCTTGTCATTCCACCATGGGTGGGGGGATCGGCAGAGGTGTTTTGTTTTGTCCTGGCCTGATATTCAGCAGGCACCCGAGTCGCTTGCTGGAGGGGAATCTCCTTCCTAGGACCAGAGAAAGCTGCCTTATACCAAGTCAAACTGTTGGTCCATCTAGCCCAGTATTGTCTACACTGACTGGCAGCAGCAGCTCTCCAGATTTCCAGGCAGGAGTCTCTCCCAACCCTAACTGGAGATGCTGCGGGCGAATTGAACCTGTTGCCTTCCGCTTGCAAGGCCCTGTTCCTGAGCCATGGCCCTTCCTCCCAAAATAAAGTTAAAATTCTAGTCCTGGTGATTAGGAACCTAGGAAGATGCCTTATACAGAGCCAGACTGTCGGTCCATCTAGCTCAGTATTCTCCATACTGACTGGCAACAGCTCTCCAGGGTTTTAAATTCAGGGAATCTTTCCCAACCCGACCTGGAGACAGCAGAGGACCATGGCAATATGGCGCCCTGTGCAAGTCCAAAATCGGATGCTGCCCCCAACCCAAAGCCCCTTAATGCCAAAACCTCTGGAAAGGTCCTAGAGTTCCCCCTCTTCCTTTCCAAAGCTGGGCAAGCACTATCTAGGCTTTGGGAAGGCGGTAGGAAGGCATCCCCCCTTGGCTTCTGCATCCTGTGCAGGGGAACCAGTAGAGATGCCCTAAATCCATCTCTGTTGGAGACGTCGTTGGGATTGAACCTGCGACCTTCTGCTTGCAGGGCATATGCTCTGCCACTGGGCTATGGCCCTTTGCCAGCCCATGGACCACCACCAAAGCAAGGAACCTTGAAGCCCCTCAGGGCAGCTGCTGAGACCCTTTCCAGCCAACAAAAGCTCTTTATTGTGGGGCTTCAGATTCCCCTGTTTTTACGCTCAATTCACTTTCCTTTGTAGGTGATTAAAGTACAGAACTGATTTTGATTGTTCGGAGGGCTTCTCTCCTCTGCAGGCCCAGACAGAGGGGGGACCATATGGGCCACTTGGCCAGGGCCTCCGATTCCAAAGGGTGCCTCGGTCAGCATATTCACAATCGTATACAGTGGTACCTCGGGTTAAGTACTTAATTCATTCCAGAGGTCCGTACTTAACCTGAAACTGTTCTTAACCTGAAGCACCACTTTAGCTAATGGGGCCTCCCGCTGCTGCTGCTGCCGCCGCGCCACTGGAGCATGATTTCTGTTCTCATCCTGAAGCAAAGTTCTTAACCTCAAGCACTATTTCTGGGTTAGCAGAGTCTGTAACCTGAAGCATATGTAACCCGAGGTACCACTGTATCAATATTTTCCATTTTGTCTTTATATGCAGATACGGTTCAAGCCTTGAAATAAAATTATTTGTCAGCATAACTTTTGGGGAAATTATTTATATACTTACTTACTTATAAGACTTCAGTTATTCCCAGGGTAAAAAAAATGGGGGGCACATTATCTACCTGGCCCAGGCCTCTGCCTGGCTCTGCAAGGCCCTGCTCCTCTGTAGTGCGAACTGCAAGCCACTTTGAATTCGTGTCCATGAGTAAAAGCAGAAACATTCTAGTGAACAAAATGGAACATGAAGCCTATGGGCATAGAGAAGAGGCTGTTGGATCAGGCCAGTGGCCCATGCATCCTGTTCTCACAGGGACCAACCACATGCCCCAAAGGGAAGAAGCCCGCAAGCAGGACTCAAGCATAAGAGCAGTTTGAAAAAGACATTCCCCACTCAGAAATCCCATCAAGTGGTGTTTCCAATGCATACTATGTCCCGCAGCGGAAGTACTGTAGAACATAGCCGTTGTGGCTAGTAGCCATTCATAACGTGATCCTCCATGAACTTGTCTAATCCTCTTTGAAAGCCAAGTTGGTGGTATGCTACGACAACGGCAAGAGTCTTGATAGCAGAAGGATGGAAGAACAAGGAAATCCCAGCGAAAGAACAGCAGCAAGAAAAATTGATGAGCTACGCAGAGTTGGCTAAATTGACATACAAACTGCGGGACAAGGGCAACTGTGACTTTAAGGAAGAATGGGAGATTTACAAATTATCTAAAAAGACAACAGAATGAATTGAACTCCTTGGCAGGTTCTGAATAAACATACACAAATTTGTTGGTTGATAAAATGGTAGATAGAGAATGTATAATTTTATAACATGCAGAGAGTAATATGTGCTGAGAAATCAGAGAGAGGAGCTGAGGGAAGTCTCTAGGGGAAGGGGGAGGGTTTGATGGGGGTGGGGAAAAGGGGGGAAATAAGGGATATGATATGTTGAAATTGCTAATAAAAACTTTTATTAAAAAAAAGAAAGCCAAATTGGTGGACATCCTGTGGGAGTGAGTTCCACAGTGAGTAGTAGCCCTTGCTTTAGTCTGCCTTGAATCCTTCAACATTCAGCTTCATTCAACATCCTCAAGTTCTAGTGCTTTGAGAAAGAAAGAAAAGCTTTCCACTGTCGTATTTCCTCCATACCGTTTGATAATTTTATTCACTTCCATCATGTCACCTCTGTCTGTTTCAGTTTCTCTCATTTCCTCATTTCCCTAATTTTCTGTTTGCCATGTTTTTGCATCCGTTTCAGACCCACACACACGCTCACGAAAATCCCCCAGCATTTTAGCTAGTGCTTTTGATATATATTTTTTTTCACAAGCATTTCCCCCTATTATAATACACATTTGCATTTATGCACATTTCCCCCTAATATATGCAGTTGGTGCACACTTTTTTGCTTGGAGAACCGCATTGCAAAATTCAGAGAAGCATGAATTTCAAAGGATACCTGCGTTTTGGCTTGCCGTGCCTGTTTTCCCGGATGTGCAAATGAGGTAGACTTGCATTAAAATGTGAAATGAATGAACTTTCTCCTTCCCCTCTAGAGCAACAGGATCTCTTAGTGTCCTTGGAGCTTGTGGGGAAGAACTTATTGGCAGATCTTCCCTCCCCAGACCCTTTGGGGTGTGCTCAACTTTGACCACGATCCCCTTTGTCCCCTGGAAAAGCCACCTTCCCACCCCCAGCCCCCCTCCCAACCCTCTGTGGCTGATACAGAGCATTCCCCAGGAGGGGGCGGAACGCATCTGCTTGGCACTTTGCGCGACATCAATGGGGTTTGGTGCACAAGGGAGTCAGAGACACAGCATTAATGTTTAATTTGCTCTAAGCAGCTCATCTCTTGCTTAAGCGCCCGGCAGGCGATGCAGAAGGTCCCTCAGCAACAGCGGTGCAGAGGCAAAGGCGGAAGATTAGCACGCCTGCCTGGCGCTTTGATTGGGATAGACACAAACAGGGAGCCCAAAGGTGGCCTTAGCTCACCAACAGCAGGCCAGTCGCCCAGGAAGAGCGACAAGGCGACCCCAACCACAGCTGGAGGTTTGTGCAGGTCCAGGCCAGCTCACCTCTTGAAAAAGCAGAAACATTTCGCTTTTTTAAAAAAAATCTCCTGCATCCTTAGGACAGGGACGTGGGTGGCGCTGTGGGTTAAACCACAGAGCCTAGGACTTGCCAATCAGAAGGTCAGCAGTTCGAATCCCTGCGATGGGGTGAGCTCCCGTTGCTCGGTCCCTGCTCCTGCCAACCTAGCAGTTCGAAAGCACGTCAAAGTGCAAGTAGATAAATAGGTACTGCTCTGGCGGGAAGGTAAACGGCGTTTCCGTGTGCTGCTCTGGTTCTTCAGGAGCGGCTTAGTGATGCTGGCCACATGACCCGGAAGCTGTACGCCGGCTCCCTCAGCCAGTAAAGCGAGATGAGCGCCGCAACCCCAGAGTCTGTCACGACTGGACCTAATGGTCAGGGGTCCCTTTAACTTTTATCCTTAGAACAACATAAGAAGACTCCTGCTGCATATTCCTAGATTTTCATCAACCATTCTTCCTTCCATTTCTGTGCACAGAGAATCCTGGCCGCTGTAGTCCCCTACATAAATACTGTTGAAGCTTCCTTTGGGATTTCGCTGTCTAGTATCCCCGGCAAGGAGGATCTTGGAATATGCAGCGATGGCAAAAATTGACGGCACTGATAAAAGACACAAACTCCAAATCTTTTAAAGAAGACTGGTAACCCTTTCTAGGCTGTGAAAGAAAGTTATTTCCCATATGAGGAGATCGCAGCGGGGTTTGAAGTATAAGAAAATAGCAGAATGTATTAAGAGGCACGCTAGAGAGGGTGAAATTAGATAAGATGGAAGCTTAAAAAGCAATTGTATGTGATCTGAGTTATAAACATTGACGTTGGGTGAACGGGAAGCCACTAGTTTTGTTGAATTGGAATATAATTGTTGGGTAACAAATGTAACTTCCTATATGGAAAAAAAGAATAAAATATTATTATTAAAAAAGAAGAAAGCCCTGCTGGATCAGGCCAGTGGCCCATTGAGCCCAGCATCCTGTTCTCACAGTGGCTAACCAGATGCCCCCATGGGAAGCTCGCATGCAGGATTCGAGCACAAGAGCCCTTTCTCCTCCTGTGGTTTCCAGCAACTGGGATTTGGAACATTGCTGCCTCCAGCTGTGGAGGCCGAGCACAGCTGTCATGGGCTAGCCTTCTCCTCCAGGAATTTGTCAACTTCTCTTCTAAAGCCACCCAGGTTGGTCATCACTGCCTTCTGTGGGAGGGAGTTCCACAGTTCAACTATCTGCTGTGTAAAGAAGCACTTTCCTTTCTCTGCTTCTGGAATCTTCCAGCAAGAAGGTTCCCCTGAATTTGGTGAAAATGAGACAGTCATCCTCCTCCTTGTGCTAGAAAAATGCAACCTGTGCTGCTGATAGTAGTGTGACGCATGCAACACGTTGGCGATTAATATATACAGAACAATAATTATACATACTTTATCAACCTTCCGAGAAAAATACAAAACATTAAACAAAGCCACAAAGACTTGCGAACTACCCAGTCTAAAATAAACTTATTATGTCTGGTTCGCAAGACTTTGTGGCTTTGTTTAATGTTTTGTATTTTTCTCAGAAGGTTGATAAAGTATGTCTAATTATTGTTCTGTGTCTATTAATCGCCAACGTGTTGCATGAATCCTCCTCCTTGTGGGCAGCAAAGCCCCCAGATTGGTTTGGCTCTTAACATTCCTCAAAACGAAACAAAAAAGTGAGACAAGCAACCAACAAGGGCCTAAATACCCCCAATTGCCACTTGCCAACAAACCCTTTGTCACGCTCAGAGTTTGCCAGAGATAGAAAGCTGAGGGCAGGTTTGGTGGGAGGGGAGGTGTCAAAGATGGAGGACAGAACTATGGGAGGGTGGAGATTTGTCAAATGCACTGTGCCCCCACCCAGTCAGGAGCTTGGATTTTATTTTTTGGCTGGGGTGGGTGGGGGCAAAAGGCAGGAAGCACTGAGCCTAAAAGACTGGGCATGCCAAGTATAGGAGTCAAAAACCTCTGAGGCTCCCCCCCCCCCCGCAAAAAAAATTCAGGGGCCTTTTAAAAATAAATCCTTTCGTTTGCCTCAACTACTGAAACAGGGTTTTCTCCCAGGGTTCTAAGAGGGGTTACCAAATGAGACCATTTTGGTGTTGTATGGCCTCCATTTACATGAATTATATATACAGTGGTACCTCGGGTTAAGAACGTAATTCGTTCTGGAGGTCCGTTCTTAACCTGAAACTGTTCTTAACCTGAGGTACCACTTTAGCGAATGGGGCCTCCCGCTGCAGCCACACGATTTCTGTCCTCATCCTGAGGTAAAGTTCTTAACCCGAGGTATTATTTCTGGGTTAGCGGAGTCTGTAACCTGAAGTGTCTGTAACCTGAGGTACCACTGTAT